TTTTTTTTTTTTTTTTTTTTTTTTTTTTGCAAGGAATATGAGCAAGAGCTATAGACAGAAAACCCAAGTTGCAAAATCACGAAGTCGTCCAGATAGTCATGTACCAAGCAGAGAGCACAATGCACCAGGATTCCATCCATGTAAGAGCAATGCAAAGAACTCAAATGTCAATGTCTACACTCCTGATCACACCAACACCGTATCCAATGTCGCTCCCACTCTGTCACTCAGCGCCCAGCCTTCTACTCAGCCTATCTAGCCTATCTATGGTTCAAGCGATTGTTGTTGTTGACAACTCAATACATAGCACGACTCAACAAGGCAACAATAAAACCATGCATGAAGGAGTAGGTGTAAGGGAAAGAGATAGAGAGTGAGAGAAGGGGAGAAAGACAGGAAAACGACGCGAGATAAACGAAATCGATTGGTGAAATTAATTCTCCCGAACACAACTGACTCGTAAAAAAGTCCTTGAAAGCGCCGAGTCTAGTCAAAACCGTGGCATGATCCTACCAGTTTCGGCTGGCGCCACCCAGCCGTCATCAAGCGACTGGATCACATCGAAGTCGAAGACCAATGTACATGCCGTCAACACCAATGCCGACCACCAGCATAACACCAGGTATGTTATCTCTTCTCCCCTCATCAGACCTTGACCACCCACTCATGCGCCCACCATTGCTGTCACCGGCAACCTGCATGCTCAGCCCGAGTGTAGCCGCCGTGCACCCACTGCCACCGCAGTGCCCTCTTCACCACATAGCGCCCGCGTGGGCCCCAGCCTGTCTGCCTAGTGCAGCTTCGCACGACAAAGCAGCAGCGTGGGCGTAATGCCTGCACAGGCCAGAATGTCCTACCGAGGGGGCACACACTTTCCTTTATGGAAAGTGAGTCGGCTGCTGGCTGACCTGGCCAGGCGTGTGGGTGCCCAGTAGCTTCAGTCCGGCCCCAAGTGTCTGGGCCCAGGCCCAGTTTCAGATACCGGCCTGGGCCTTGTGCAGTTCGGCACGTTCAGGCAGCCACCCAGCCTCCAAGTGTCTGCAGCACTCTCATTGGCTCGCGGCACGTGTGACGACAATGCTGCTTTCTCATTGGTCTGTGGCCAGTCCATGATGTGTCGGCCTCACACGGCATGTGCCCAGGGTGCAACCAACTGAGCCCCGGGCTCAACTGTACAGTGCAGCCCCTTGCTTCTGGAGAGAGCCTGGAGGCTCACGTTGCTCTGTAACCAACTGGCATGCTGCAACTGAGTCCCCGCATATGGAAAATGTTGAAACCAGGCCTCATGTAAAAATTCAGGCCCGCCTTCACTTACGGCGGGCACGGGGCTTGCTGGGGCCCTCAGCCTAGTTCACGTGCGTGCCTGATAAGGGCCCGGCGAGGGCTCATTCCTCGCATTTTTTTCCTTTTTTCCCCTTTCCC